AATCTAAATGGACAATTCTGTTAAACAGAATGTAATTCATAGACGGAGACTTTTCCTATCAATAAACTGAAATAATTCAAATTCAAATTCAAATTCAAAGTTTCAAACATTCAAATCCATTTTGACTTGTCTAAGGGGAAAGTTTTGTAAATTTTGAAACTAATTGAATGACCGGTTTCTTTCCAGAATGCATTTTGGCATGGGTCAATCGCGTGTGTCGTGTGCATGCCTGGTCCAGAAGAATACCCTCCTGAAGCAGAGTACTAACGATTACTGTTCCAACTCGTGGAGAGGTCAAAAAATCTGGTCACGGACAGGAGAAGCCTCCTTCTTTCGTCAAATAAAAAAAAAACCCTGATGATTCCTGTCGATTTAAATTAAAAGGTGTCAATTTTTTTTCTTCAGAAGGAGAAAAAAAAATATGACATTCAAATCACGACAGGCGAAGAGCGATCACAACAGTTCACTCGAGCTAAAGAGACGTGTTCCATAATCCATACCCAGATCTTCGTTTTGATGCCCTGTCATCGTCCTGTTTTCAACAGGGACTGGTTGTCTTCTGCCTTTTTGAGTTTTTTCCTGGCTTCTTTATACAACTCTTTCCTGGTTTCTGTGAAGGACTCAAGGGCCCGCTTCCGAATCTCCATATAAAGCAAGACATGTGAGAATTAAAGACATTTTTGTAATTACCAAGTATAATATCCAGAAGATGGACAGTCCTGCCATCTTCCAAGATAATGTCTCTTTTAAATGGATCTAAAGTATAGATCACTCCTTCCCCTTGGGTCGTCATTACCATGTCACCTCGTTCGCATTTACCAAACCAAACCAAGCGTTGCTTGTCATATCTCTTTGGGGCATCTCTCCTTCGCTGATGCTGAAATGGCTTCACTGCAAAAAAGAAGAAGTTATCATATCAATACTGAACTACACATTACATGTAAAAGTCCATTCAGCAATTGCATGACAAAGCTCAGCAACATTTTGTAACTTACAAAATCAATGGGATACAGGGCATCAAAGAGAATGTTGCAGATGCAGGAGACATTTTATTTTTTGTCTTCTTGCTACAAAAAGCTGTGGACCAATCAATTTTTTTTTAAAGCTACCTTGGTAGTTCAAAAGTATTTGTGTCTTAAATCGTCACAAAATTTAAACTTAAAAAAATCCATAACATTACATGTACATGGTTCAATCCACAAACGTCAAATCAACCAATGCTAAGAAAGTTAGACTTAATGTTAGGGGATACAGTTAGATCTGGATCTAACTTAAAATAGTCTGGGGGTCGTTTCACGAAGCCAGCTCCATGACAGTCATATCTTTGAAACAACTTGTCGGCAAGCTGACATCTCCGGTGACCATTTCTTTTTTTCCTCCTCAGTCTCCTGTTCCTTCATATCGGCTTCTATCTTGACCAAGCTCTCTACAATTTGAGTCATTTCCGTTTCTGACTGCGTCATCTCTGGTGCAATTCCACTTTGCCTCCTCTCCAGATTGTTTTTTGTTTTGATGTTGTCTTTAATCAAATTGTATCTGTCACGGACCGATCTCCGTGAAACATCTATACCATGGCCTTGTAGTTTAGTGCCTACATCTTCCCACACCTTTCCCCTCTCGCGAGTACGGTCTTTGTACTGAAAGGGGTTTAAAAATTCCACCTCCCAGCACAGTGTGACATTCATCTCGTTTGACCAAGTAGTAGACCTATAAGGACAGAGAAAAAAAGGACAGAATGAAATCAATTTGTGATGAGGTAAAAGATATAATGGTGTATGATAACAATATCTTTGTAGATTAATTTGGGTTTTAGAGCTGACCCCTATATCAAAAGCCTTGTAAAGTTGAAAAAACAATGGCTTAAACAAATTTTGTGGACAAGCAAGATAGCCTGGAAATGTGTTTTAAAATGTTTCTGCTTCATCAAACTCCATCAAGTAAATATATGATCTTCGAAAAGAGGAACGGCCTGGAAGTAATTACAAATTAACAATATTGTATAATGGTCCAAACTAGTGAAATTGTGAAGGCTCATGAAGTCTTGTTTGAAGACCATCAGCTCAGTGCAGTAGGAATCATCAACCAAGTTGGCAAAAATTGTGTTATAGATTGTCTCCTCCACAAGTCTATCCAGAGCCCCTGTGAGGATCTGATCCTTCATTATCCGCATGGCAGCCGCCTCTGCATAGTTATTTGTGTTGTTGTTACGGACATTCAGGTTAACTCGGTAACACACTGCCCAAGACGTCTTTCTGGCATAGATGTCCTCCAAGTGCTTACGTACATTCGCATACCTATCCAAGGTTTCGTCATTCATGATTTCCTCATGTTCGTTTCGGGGGGGTTGAGAGCGAGCAAATCTTTCATTACTTGTTGTACGAGGACAGGCTCTGTTGATTCCGTCTCCCATTTTTCGTCCTCTTGACAGCTAATGTCTGCTGCTCCATCCAATATAGGACAGAGATCTGTTTCTTCTACTCGTTGAGGTATACCTTACATACTAAAGTAGACTGCGAGTCTACCTCGAATACACTACCATGGTTTCACTCACCTATAGTCCTTGAGGGTAAAATCATCCATCTGAGGTACTTCTAGGTGTCTGAATCCAGTTGTGTGTAGTTGCATGCTTAAGAGAGCGAGGCTTCCTCTCCAGGCTCCAAAGTGGAATGCCGCCCTTTAAAGGTGAGGGCGGCATTTGGCATCTGCTAGGTCTAGTGGATGTCTGCTAACCTCAGCTGGCGTCTGCTAGGCCTCATTTGGGCCCTACTACAATATACCTTGTTCATTTGTGTATCGTTAATTACCACTGCACCACGCATAAAACGTGCCTCTACTCCTCTTATTTCAAATGGTTCAATTATTTGGCGTCATAGACGTCATTGGCATATACTGCACTGATAAGTTGGCCAAAACTAAAATCGATGTTTCCTATAACATCTCCAGGGCTGATTACGCCAAAAAGGCAGTCCACCTACCGATGGACGATGAAATATCCAATTCCTTCCTTGACTGTTGCCGCCTTAGTTGGCAGCAAAGCTCCTCTTATCCCAGAGTCTGTCTCCTGCTCTTGCAACAACTTGTCCACATCATTTGAATCTTTACAAACGAATCCACACATTTCTTTTTTTGTGAGGTACTTATTAGCCCTCACCTTAAGGTCAGTCCATTTTTTGTTATGTCCTTCCACTTCCTCTCCCTTCCCCTCACTGTTGACTTCAGGACGAGAAAAATACCCTTAGTGGTGTGTACTGGCCATCAGGGCATCTGCAGGACGAGTAGAATACGCTCCTGAAATACCCTATAATGTTACACCATGGTTCACATGATTCTCCTATGGTACTACAATGAGATGAAAACAGGCCTGCTTTAGTATCCTTTCCCAACACTCCCTCAATTGCTTGTGGGCTCTGTGCCTGTTGGACCGCTCCAAATATGGGATGAATGGAGAAGGCCCCTCCACCTACATGTAGTTAGTGAGAAAATGATGATAAGTGATTCTACTTCCATTTTCTGCCATATACTAGGTATCACAGAAGAGCTGCATTGAGTGGGGACACGAACAGAGTTATTAAGCATATAAACATATGACAAACTATTTTAGGTACATAATTATTATAAACATTATACATCATAATAGCACTTTGAATTATTTCCTGGAGGGTGTCTTCGGACCTCCCAAGGACTTCCTTTCTTTGGTCTTCGGACCTCCCAAGGACTTCCTTTCTTCGGACCTCCCAAGGACTTCCTTTCTTTGGTCTTCGGACCTCCCAAGGACTTCCTTTCTTTGGTCTTCGGACCTCCCAAGGACTTCCTTTCTTTGGACCTCCCAAGGACTTCCTTTCTTTGGTCTTCGGACCTCCCAAGGACTTCCTTTCTTTGGACCTCCCAAGGACTTCCTTTCTTTGGTCTTCAGACCTCCCAAGGACTTCCTTTCTTTAGTCTTCGGACCTCCCAAGGACTTCCTTTCTTTGGTCTTCGGACCTCCCAAGGACTTCCTTTCTTTGGTCTTCGGTTTAAGTTTGTTAATAAGAAGATCATCAAAAGATATTGAAGTTGTGCAAAATACACTTTAATATTCGGAATGATTCTACTTCCATTTTAGGCCATATACTTACAATGCTGCTTGCAGTAATGCAAAACGAATCTACGTTTTGCGTCTCGACTACACTGCGGCCCCCTGATCGTTAATGCGTGACATCTTCTGGGCCTCCTAAGCACCATCCTCCGTACCCTAGTATGATTAAGATACAGTAAGTACACTTATAAATGCTTGCACAATCGAGACAACATTCAACAATATTCAACATTGCTACTTCCTTCTTTTTTATGTTCTGTTTATGTATTTGTAAAGACTTAGGAATATTTGTCTTGTTCTTCTTGGAGAGATACTTATTTGCCCTCACCTTCAAGTCTGTCCACTTCCTTTTGATGTCCTCCCACCTCCTCTCCCTTCCCCCCCCCCCCCCCCCCCCCACTGTAGCCTCTAGCAGCCGGGCGCACTGCTCCCATGTTTTACGTTTTCGCTCTTCAACCTGCATCAGATAGAACATAAATATCACAGTGATTATATCACAAAACTTCACTGCAGTGGGGAAAAAATGTAAAATACAAATCATGAAAAACATCTGTACTCTACACAGTAAAAAAAACGATAACTTAGAACCCAAAACACATTTTGATTGTCTATTGTTTAAAACCATGAGACATGACCATCATTATTTGTGTTTTTCTCAAGAGGTTGAAAAATTTCTTCAGATTGACCCCTCCCCTCCCCCCCCCCCTTGGATAAGCGTTAAACAATAGACTATCAAACATTTCTTTGTTTTTCACCAGGTCTGAGTTGCGACCTTATCATAGCAGTATGCCCCTATGGGAGTGAGGGTTTGTTGTCGTCACCGTTGTCGTTGAGGCTCGCCACAGGGCTAGAGTCGAGAACGAAACTTCTTTTGTTCCATTCGTTATCGATGCTGTGTGGGGTGACAGTCATAAAGCCTTCCTGGCCCTAAATATACACATCCCCGAGCGAAGCTCGGGGATGTACCCCGCTTGCTCCAAAAAGCCGCTGAGCCCCCTACACATTTGCCGACGACACGAATATCTATTCTATCATAACCTTTATCACCTTGGGAGTGTGTTCTGGGTGTTCGGTATTACATGAGCTTCATGCAGCTCTATTTATTTTTAAATAAAAATGTTAAAAACTCACCTAATCCTGCCTTTTTATCAGTAAAGTCCTTCACACAGCGAACAAAGTTGTGTGCAGTCCTATGGGGCTCGATCTCATGTAATCGCTGTATATGAACCGGAAGGTAATCGCAACTCTGTGAAGGTCAAGTCACGTGACGAGATCGCCCGAGTAGCACGCGCGGAAGCAACTGCTGTAGCAGACGACGCGACGTCTATACTGTGTGCAATGTAAATTTATAGCGTAATCGCCCAGATTCATTCATGATTCAGGCAGAAATTATTCAGCGTACGTAGAAACTGCCATGGAAACGAGAATGCTCAAAGAAGTTGTGGATGATGTGCTCGGAAGTACTTTTGTACTGAAACAAAAACAGGAGTCCATGCTCATAAGCGCTGCCAAAGGAAATCACACCATGGGGATCCTTCCCACTGGATACGGAAAAAGTTTGATTTATGCCCTCCACGCACCACTTTTGAACAAAGTAGGCATATTGTGTTTTTAAATGTAGCTGTCGTTTTTTTTATTGTCTTAATATTTTTTGTTAATCAGCTTTCTTGAATGGAACATGCAACAGAAAACAAGCGCCGTTTAATATGATTTTGTATAAGTTAATATTAAGGCATTGCCGTATATATACAAACTAGGGGTATGTTTGACCTTTTTTTTTTTTTTTTTTTTTTTTGCCAGTGTTTCATGATTTTTTTAGAGGGGGACAAAATATCAAATGTCCCCCCTCCTATATACGATTTGAGGTTTAACTTGTATTTTTAAGATTATATGCGACTTTTTGGTGTTTTAGTCGATGTGAGACCTTTCATTTTTCTTGTCAGTTTGTTTTGGAGTCGTTTGTTGGTTTTTACCTACCTCTCCACCTCACTTATTTATTTTTTGAAGAAAAAAAAATCACCAACAAGTTGAACAACAAGGTTTTTGTTAGTTTGTTCGTTTGCTTGTCGGAGAGGTGGGTCTCTTGCACGTATCCTGATGGAATAAGGCTCTGTCATGGGTGTAAAGGGGTGTAAAGTAAACTCTCATTTTGTGTTGTTGTAGTTGTTTTTTGGGGGAGGCCGTTCTCAAGGCCATCGTTTTGATCTTCTTTGCCGCTCCTTAGCCCCCCCCCCCCTCCGTTTTGGAATTGGTAGCGGCACACCCCCGTCAAAATAACAGTCCCCCCCCCCCCCCGGGGGGAGTTATACAACCTCCACAATCTTTTCCAAATGTGTCATAAGTATATGCACGCCACGGGTTAGGTGCTCCCGACCCACTCATTTTACATGAATGCAAAAAGGAATGAGATGATCGAGATTCATTCATGCTGGTCTAATTTCAGATCATTATTTTATTTGCATGCATACAGTATACATTCATCGGATAGCGGGCCTTAAAAAGTCCGTCTGATCATGCAATGAGATACCAGGCCCAAATAAGGAACGGAACGGCATACTTCCCATAATTATGTGGATGCAAGACCAGCCAAAAAAAACAAAAAACAAAAACAAATACAAAAAAACAAACAATAACACACATAAATGAATGAAAATAAAATATAAAATTAAGGTTTCAAAATTAGGCAGAGCTGCTGGAAAATGTACTGGTTTTGTCCCAATCACAATCGGTCTTAAAATGATCACTTAAAGATATAATAATAATCAATAAAATAAGATTGGTGGGACCAGCCCCCCCCCCCCCCCTCCCCATTCCCATCCTGCAGCATAGTGAATATGATTATATTTAACCAAAAAGAAAATTGAAGAAACTAATAACATTCATATTCACTGTCTAAAATATATAACTAACAAACACAGTTATATAGTTACCTTTACAAATGTATGATAAACTAAAACCTGTGCATGCATTAATCTTCTTCTTTTTTTTTTTTTTTACAGCTGAATCCACAGAAAACACACATAACCCTCGTAGTAAGTCCGCTTAAAAGTCTAATGCTGGACCAGGTGCGCAGATGGAAGAATCTTGGCATCAGAACTGCGGCCATTCTTGGCCATTCAGGTCATGACATGGACAGGGAGACTGAAAACGGTAATTCAAACAGCAACGAGAGATTTTACACGTTGTGGGTCATACAGCGGATTATACCAGGTGTCCCAGAAATAAAGTGGAACGAAGATTTTTCAGTATGCTTGCCTTAATTCAAAAGCTACATATTTGGTTTTACATTATTGGATAAATCATTTTCTACCAAAGACCAAAGAGAATGATGCCAAGATTGTTGTAAATGGTTCAGTAATTTTGATTCTATGCCCGTTTCTTTTAATACAATCATTTTCAAATTTCGCATGCTTTTAGCGACCAATATATAGGAGTACTTGTGTCGGGAATGGCGTGTAACATGCGTCCGTTTTCCGATTTCAGTTTTTCTTTTGTTTGCATGCATCAATGGGCTCCCCCCGAACATTCGAAATTTGAAAATGACTTTATTTAAAGAAACGACATGAATCAACACTACTCAATCAAATTCAAAGATCTAATTAGTATCATTCTCCTCGGTAGAAAATTCTTTACCCAAATGATGCAATAAAATTATACATTAAGGATCGTCATCACTTGTATAGGTAGGGCGTAATAGCATTACCATAATTTACATCACAACAAATAGTGCTTCTTCTTGCCACAGTTATGGTTAAATATATGGTAATAGTGTATAACATTATTATTATTGAAGTGATAATGCAAAACATCAAATCCGATGTACAATAAAATAGATAGACGACATACACTGTAAAAACTGGGGTGTTAAAATTGACACCAGTCGGTTTTAGTAGAGGACTACACCTTCAGGTATTAAAATTACTACCTTAGAGTTTGGACATAACACCAAAAATGTTAGAATAACACCATTGGGTGTTGAATTAACACCACAGATGTAAAACGCATGGCGTTGTCCTCTATGTACACCCGATATCAATATAGTTCTTGTTGTATCTGTTGATAAGAAATACAAGTGGAATAGATGTGGGATGTGATTATTTCACGTGTTTATATACAGAATGCACTCGATAGAATTTGACATGAATGCATCGATCACAACGTTCCTGTTATTTCTTCATTTATTAAACAGACCTGATGAATGGAGGGACAGACCTCGTTTTTACTTCCCCGGAGGCCATCCTGTCCCCTAAGTGGTGGCAATGGGTGCGGAAGTTTCAAAACAGGATTTCGTTGCTGGTGCTAGATGAGGTTCACTGCTTTACAAAATGGCATGTTCTTGAAAATTATTTATATATTTCAAGCCATTATCATACAAAATACATGTCTTTTAAAAGCTTATCACTTTTGTTTCTGCTAATCATGTGATTACATGGGCCCATTCAAGATAGCTCTGCATTATGAAGCTGCGTGAAAGTCTTAAACAGCAAGCGAGTTTGCAAAATGCGCCTTCAAAATGTGACATATTCATATAAGACAAAATAGGTATTTCCTCTTCATCGTTTACATAATGAAGGCCTATACATATACTCTGCACCAATGTCATTTTCATAAATATTAACAAGGAGCTACGTTTTCTGAGCTCAGTTTACTTCACTCATGCACAGTGGGATGTGCACTTTCACATGAAGACACTAATTATAAACCATAATTACACATTATCAAATTCACAACATTCACTGATAGGTAAATAGGTCAAACGAGTCAATTTTACCAATCATTTGTGTTCATCTTACAGGGGTCTTACATTCAGGGAGGAGTACCTCCGGACCACATCTTTGACATCCAGGCTGGCATGCCCTATAATGCTTCTTACAGCCACGGCAACAAACAGAATGGTCACAGAAATACTTCAAAACCTGAATCTCCGCAGGGAAGAAGTAGAAATATTCGCCGCTATTCCCAACAGGTTGGTTATACCTTATCATCATAAGCAGTTAATGTGAATGATCATTATTAATGATTTCTTCAAGTCAATTGATCATGATCATAGTATACATACATAGTATCTACTACTGAACTTCTCTTCCCTTATTGTAATAATAATTATGTGAGAAATCTTAAAGGAAAATGAAAATCAGACAGCAAAAACAAAATAAGAATACAGCCCTGCAGGGTTGCGACTAGGAACATTTATAAATAATAAATATGGTTAAGAGTGATCAGGGGTATATCAAAGATTTTAATAGGGACAGGGTTCAACAGGGGGCGGAAGGAGAACTTGCGCGCTCGCAAATCTACATTCTGCATGATACAAAATATCAGTAAAATGCAGTCAATATCTTTATGTATTTATTTATGCATTTATTAACATTAGATTATTATTATTTTTATTGTTGTTATTATTATTATTATTATTATTTTTTAATTATCATTATTATGATGTCGATGACTATTATTGTTGTTACTTTCATTGTTATTATTCTCTTTCATTTAATTTATTTATTTGTTATATTTTGTTTTGTTTGTTAGGAATTCAAACATGAGTCCGGTATCAGGGTATTAGCCAATCAAAATCGCGAATTTCGAGACTTATGTTTGAGTTGCTGAATTGGGTTTGATATCAGCTTTTATACCACAGGGTCCAGGGTTTCATAATTACTCGGATAGGCCCTTTTGAATATCATAAATGAATCATAAGGGAATTGACAGAACTTTAAATCGGACAGAAACCTGTGTAATACTCGTTATCAGTTGAGGCACATTAATTGTCTACAGCAGAGAGTCATAATGTCATAAACTATTAGGCTACATACGGACATTTAATGAAATCTTGTGTGTAAGGAGACTTTTAAGGAATATATGAATAGCTCTGTGGATATGACTGAGTTCATGTACCTTTAATTGTTCTATCCACAGACCAAACATTCATCTATCAGTGGTTCCGGTGAAGGACAAGTTTGAAGCCATTGGATGGTACTTGGATGAATTAAAGGAGAAGGGTGTCGATGCTGCAAAAACCATCATTTATGCACGGTAAATAAATTTTAAAACGCAATTTTCATTTTTCTTACGGAATTAAGTTTTATGAAGGTTTTCATTTTCAATTAACTAGTATGTCAAAACTTTAGGCGAATCTTTATGACAGCGATGCGTTCATTCTTACGTTTAACGTTTTGCAATATAAAGAATTATGTTCACATTATAAGGGGTCAATTTCATAAGGAGTTACGGTTAATCGTTACTTTGCTCAATAAACGGTTTTCCGTTCAGTTACAATTTATATCACTTTCACTATTGTTGACTGGATCTTAAAAGAGGCACACGTGGATTAGCTTCAATATCCTTAATAATGTCACTAAGTATTGTTCTTTCAGACAAATCGACCACGTTGCTGAACTCTACACATGGCTCAACGAAAGCCTCGCCGAGTCCGCCCATGCTCCAGGACCAGGGCAGTCTTGCAGTGTGGAAAGTAGACTGATCGAAATGTACCACGCATCAACGGACTCAAAGAGTCAGGAACGAATATGTCGTAACTTTTCCACCGAAGGTTCTAAGCTGCGCTGCGTTGTAGCAACAATAGCATTCGGTTTGGGTGTCGACATCGCCGACATTGATCAGGTTATCCACTGGGGATGCCCTAGTGATGTCCTCTGCTATTGGCAAGAAACAGGCCGATGCGCGAGGGATGGAAGACCCGGAAAAGCCATTATGTATCTGCCACCCTTTTCAGTCAACAAGAGATGGGTTGATGAAGACATGAGGGACCTTGTCCAATCATCCCGCTGCATCCGGAAATCGGTGTTGAACACGCTCTTCGTGCATGGCATGGAAAAGGACAATGTACAGGTGATGTCATGCTGCTCAGTTTGCGACAGTGCTAAGTAATACGGGACCCATAGCATGTATCCATTTCTATGAGTCAGTGCACAATTTAACACTGCGACGCTGTGCATCCATTCTCGTAGAAAGTGCTTTCAGCTTTTTACCAAGGTTCTTTGGATTTCGCAACACCTCTTTATGGTCGAACCCTTCAAAGCCTTTGTGTTGTCTGAAGGGCAAGTATTCAAACAGTCCAAATCCATCGTTCTCATCCACAAACAATGCAACATCTTGTTTGTATACATCCTCTGCTTTCTTCCTAGTTGGCGTCTTCATGGAGACGATCCCGGCATCACTGAACATGATATCCAGGTACCTACCAAATGGTCCTGACATCTTGGCACATCTCTGCGCGTGTTTCTCAGTCACATTTCCATGAGCGAAGTCGATCATACCTGCAAAAATTGATACAGAAAAAAAAACAGTTAAAATATAATTGTTGAGAAGATCAAATCAACCTTGATTTATAATTGCATATCACGTCACCTACGCACAACGCAAAATGCGTCAAACATTGCAACTGACATACCCTTGTAGTCCATGTTAATGTGCTCAGTACCAAGGTCCATCCCTATGTTTCCTCCGGGCTTGCCAGTGACATTGATGACTCTGTTCCAGATCAAATTGTTCCTGATGTCAGAAGGAGCAAATCCACCGATACCTGATGCCATGAAAAAACAATTTGCGAAATCTAAAACCAACATTTCACCAACATGACCAAGGAAATACTTTCTACTTTTCAAACCCCTCGTTCGAGGATCATTTCATGATGTTCAAAGGATCGCATGGGCACCATCCCTTTAACGTTAACTAGCTAGGTCACTATTAGTTTGAATGCACATGCCATCATTATGACCGTTCATCAGTATACACTTTATTAATTGTGTGTTTGCCAGCGTCCTTCTTTCGGCAAATGGCACAAATCTCCTATCTCTTAAACAATGCTTAATCTGTTTATCCCCAAACTCACAATATGCACATCCTGGAGGATTCGTTGTCTAGTACACCTAATCACAAATGAAACGGACGTATTCTATGTGCATTTCAAGTGGAAGTGGGTCTAAAAGATGATGTGATGATGTGGCACACAGAATATATTTTTGGCACATAATAATAAGTTTATCGTGAGTGTCATGAAGTCTTGTCCTGTCAGTTATTCTCGCATCGAGTCAAATGAATATCTTATCAATGTAAAATCTTATAAGTCTTCAAATTCCAGACTCACATGCTAAAAAGTAGTGGGCATTGATGAGGTACTTTGGGTGTCTCTTTGACCAGAAAGTTATGAGATCGATTTTCCAGTCTTCAACCATGACTGGTCCATTTCCAGCCCGAACTGCTGCTCTCCTGGCTAGATGTCGCAATCCTTCCAGAACGAGAGCTCTACTGTGGTTCAGCACATGGTCGTCGTTTTGAGAATCAAGGGCGCATTCTTCACTGCAATACCACTTCTCTGCGAAGATATATATATGGAATGCATTGGAACTAATGGATTTGTGAAAATTTGTTCCCTCTTCTTATTCTAAGGTACGGTTAGGGCTAATAAGATGCTTGTATAATTTATGATCGAACCTCATCAACTAGACTTTTGACATCCATGGAAAAAATGGGAATATGGAATATATAGTCCACGAATAGAGTTTTGGCTTGCATATCGCAGATTCTGGTAGAGTTTTATCCAGATAGGGACACCAAACGTTGCAGGATTAGTTCTATTTAGTGGGTTATCCAAACTTGCTAAAATGTTAATATTTGAAATTGTGTATTTATAATATTCCTGAAACCTTGTAACTATGAACAATTACAATATTCTTACCGGGTAAGAGATCAGTCAACTGAAGACCAATGCATCTGTGGTGATACCATTCATGACCCCTGCAGTTTCCTTTCAATGCGCACTGCGCCATGTTTGTGTTGCCCTCTGGATCGACTTTCCGCTGGCACACACAGTAGATGTAACTCGGACCACTCTCACAGTCGGCGCTGCAATACCAGTCTTTCTCTTTGTCTGGAGCAGCTGTCAACCCAACACAACTAAGGTGAAACCAAGCCTTGTGACATGTTGAACTGCAACACAGCACCATGTCGTCATTCTTTTCTGTATTAATTATTTTAAAAGGTTGGAAAAACATGTATCAGTCTTGTCGAATACAACTCAATTTTCTTTCAACAGAAGTTAGAGAAAACATTATTAAATTCATCCCCTAACTGATAGAGTGATATGTGTTTGAAGGATATCTTCTTTTTCTTCTATTGTCCACTTTTAAAATGCAACGCCCGTCTCCAAAACGAATTTGGGAGGTTTAAAATGCAGTTTAAGATAATTATGTTAGTAATGGCTTTGGAAAAAAATCGATATAGTGTACAATTCAGCTTGTAACTTATTTACCATTAGGTATGGCATTAATTGTCACTTGATTTTGGAAGCTTTTATCATATAATGAAACGGGAGCATATTCAGTTAAAAGTGCAAAAGAATAGATACTGGTACTGATGGACATGCCTACCAGATTTGCAGAGGCAATAGCCTAGTGCATCATCTGTTCCTTCAGAGGCCTCATTCTTGTATGCTTCTGCAGCTACTTGAACTGATGACTTATCGGGCTCCTGGTATATGTAGTCCACAACTTGTTGTGCCACACTCTTTACCCATTGGAGTTGTTCCTCTGTCGTTCCTTTAGCAGGGAAACTATCAGGGATGTCGTTTAGGGATGACGTTCCACAGAACTTCAATGCACAAAGGAGAGTGTACGCCTCGGTCACGAACTGCATAAATTATAAAAATGATTATTATAATGTGACTTTTAAGTTATGCTGGGATCATTCTTAAACTATCAAAACATCGTAACCCCCCCCCCCCCTTTCTCCTTTTACTGACATTTCCATCATCATTTTTGTCAGTATAAGCTTTAATCTTGAATAATTGTCGCCATTCCAATCCACATTTTGAAACGTCTTTCTCCAATTTCAGTTACTTGAGGGAAATTCATCAACACCCCTCCCCCCTTCACATGAACACAAGCAAAAGCAACAAACGCACACACACACACACACACACACGCACACACACATACACACACTCACACAAATACGGCTTACCTCGTACATATCCCAGACATGCTGAACATTTTGCATCACGTCTTTTTTGAAGGAATGGTGATTGAAGTCGCATTTCAGTTGTGCAAGTGTTCCTCGTGCAGAAATACTTTGACCTCTGAAGAACACATTGTTCGAGTCCTATTATAAAGATTGGCAATATATCTGAATAACGTGATTTATGACATATTTTTCAATGATATCATTTACAAGCGATCATTTCAGTTTCTGGCTCTGACTTTGCAATTTACACGTCCTGTTTTGATTAATCGACAAATGAAGAGAATTTGACACCTAACCCTATCTTTTTATTGAACTGCAATATAATTTTTCCTAATCGACATTGTCATTCACGTTTTGAGACACAGAGCATAAAAGGTCATATAAGACGGTGAAAACTCTTTTATTTGATCAATTGTAATTTGCCAACACGTATTTACTGTGGTCCATGTAGGCATTATTTTAACAAGACCGTGGGAGGGGGGGGGGCATGACGCCCATGCTATTAACCCTCCAATTAAGATGATAACATGACTTTTAGACTCGAATATCATCTCACTTAAGAATTATATTGGGCTGCACCAGTGAGAATGTTCTTCCTTTCAAACTGACCTGCAATAGGAGGATCTCCTTGTGGAACTCCTGAGGTGTTGCAAAGAATGCGTCGAGTCTGTCCTCCCATCGTTCCCCGTTACTTCGCGCTCTCTGGGCGTGTAATATGCGTTCGATTGTCAGCCCGTCGCCACTGACGAGGGTCTGTGTTGGTGTTCCTTCGGTAACAGGCACATAGGTCTGGAGGCGCTCCAGGACTGAAATTGTCCCCTGCGTGGTACTAGGATTGGCGTTCACAACTCCAATTGTTACCTGTATTATAGGTAATTATTATCTGAATGTCAACATCTATTTTTCTTTGATAATATAATCTGAACTTATAGCAGTATGCCCACTATTTTCCTGGTTTCTCTCAGTATGAAGGTAGTTTAAAGTTATACTTCTAATCATTAGATATTACATTATCAACGCGAAGTGAACATTTAATTTGTCAAGTTGGTACTGGATAAACAACTAAGGCATACAATTTGAAGTACTCAAATCGGGCACTATAATTCAGATTCAAGTTAAAACAAACAAATTAAAAAAAGACTGTGAGTTGTATATTGAATAAGGCCTCTATAGCTGCACCCCTGGTCAAATTCTCACCATTTCAGACTTCTTAGCCATGGCAGCTGTTTGTGCGTGTTCTTGTGTGATGGGAAGGTCAGGAGATAAGCTCTCTAAAAAGCCCATATGCCTCCCCATGATGTTCGATACCACATCTACTAAGCGCATTCGCTGGCGGTTGAAGACTTCCGGTGAGGGCAAGAAGCTAAACGGGTCTAAGTCCTCTGCATCGCTCACTGTCGAGGATGACGAAGAAGCTGGCACCCTGTCCCTTGCCGCGTAGCACATCGTCTGAAGGAGGAATTTGTTGCTATGTGTTCTGCCTTGATGTTTTGCTTCACATCCCTTCTGCACGTTGTCAATACAGAGTCCAAATGTAGGAGGACCGGTAATGAACTTTAGCTTCCGACGTATTGTCATGCTCGGCGCTTCCTGATCAATTTAGGGAGAGAGGGATTTCGTATTATCCACATGTCAATTCATTTCAGCATAATATTAATTGAGAAGGAAACACCGATTTTTTTTTTTAGTGTTTTCGTGTTATCTAGAGTAAAAAAAAAGTCATACATTGCTACAAGAGGAAGCGGTCATTTCCTCAAACTATATCTCGATACTGCCAAGTTCTTACTAAGGGGACGAGCTGTGGGAATAAAGAGCTTTATAGATTTTAATACGAACAACTTTCAGAAAAAAGAACATAGTAGACGACTAGTATGGATGTACATAATTTTGTTAATTACTGTGAATATTCAAAATGGTGTATGACTCAAGTACACCCTATATTTCTTCACCTCAATTGTACACTTCCACTCTTTAAGTTGTTGGTCATGATTTTCCGCCATTCTATCGACATGGAACCTGACGCGCTCTGCTCCCATGGTGATGCCACTGTGATTGAGCGTCCGGAAGACTTTCTGGGACACTCCTTGGCGCCACAGTTCTATTCCCATGGTCGCCTGGACAAATTGGAAGCTGCGTGGCGAGTGGGTGTATAATGCCATGGCTAGTATAATTCCCATTCTGCGGTCGATGATTTCCTTTGCCTCTTTATCGGATAGTCCCCTTTTAATGGATAAGAAAAATAAGATCGTTTACGTTATTATCTTTCTTATAAGAAGCGTATAAAGTACTTTTCACCGCAAATTATTGCTTGGGAAACAGAATTTGGTTGTTGTACCCTCCCCCCCCCCCCAAAAAAAAAAGTCCAATAACATGACACACAAAACCTCGGACTGCCAATTAAGGCTATCAGATTCGAAATATTAATTCAGTTGTTGAGTTCCTCTAACTTCTCCCGTCTCTATCTTAATGCCACAAAATCATATATTTACATAATTACGTATTGTGCGACACTAAATTGTCCTTTTGCATGTGTTTAGTTTATCTGTGTAATGTTAATTTATAATTTCTTATGTGAAGGAAAGCGCCCACAATCTCTCTTACTTTTCAATGACCCCGCTTTATCCCCCAAAGTACATAACTATGATCAGTGTGAAATGTATTCAGGTTATCACTTATCAGTACTACATGTTGTACCTCCGAGAGCCTTTCTTTCCTTTTGTTCTTCCTCTCTTGGCCCCTTTGACCGAAGGCATCATTGCCGAGATGCAACTGATTGAGAGTGGCATAATCTTCTCGGTGTCCTCTACAAGATCCTCCCAGCTGAATTCTGCGACATTTCCAATTGTCACTGGCTGGCTCAAGGCGCTTCCGGATCGCTTAATGGCTTTCACCTGATAAATACAATCAATCATACTTTAAATTGACTAAAGACATGCGAATACCACGTCGTTATTGTAGTTAAATTGTAAAGCATATGTTTGGTTTCTAATTTAGTCAAATAGTTAAATAACGTAGAAATTGAAACGTTTTCCCGACTCATGACTTGCCTGAAAATCGTTAATTTCATAAAATAATATCGTCTCGCTCTAGAAGCGTAGAAGGAAAATTGTTCAACCAAAATCGATGATACTGGTATCAATTTCTTTAGAATTACATATACACTAATCCATAAAGGCATAGACCGTGCCCCCACCCTCTAGCCTATAATAAAATTTCTTACTTCTTCCCGGATCATCTCTTGCGTGACCTGTAACAGTGCCTTCTTTGCTGCTGGATAATTCCCACATAATTGTCTGAATGCGAGGCGATATTGCGAATTTTCGACACTCGCTACAGCCCTCTCCTTTGCAGTGGTTGGTCTCGAACCAGATTCAGGAAAGAGAGACGGAAGCTCATCGTTGAGTTCAATGCTCATTGATGGTTCTGCGTCTAGAAGAGATGATGATGGCGATGATGGCGGAAGGTTTGTCTGCACGTGAGCATCTACTTGATCATTTGGTGACGATATACATCTTTCTCCTTCTGCGAATTCACCGTCACCTTTGAGTTGAGGAAGAGAAGCTTTAATAATAGTTTATTTTTCTGTGAGACATACGATGTGCTCAAGCTAATCTTGATGAATACGAATACTCCCGTGTCAAAACTTCATTGTGGAATATTTCGATATTGCTTATAAAGTGTTTAATGTTCATGTAATTATTAAGAAACAAGAAAAAAAAAGAGAAATGTATGTTGCATGCAGTTTTACTTCTCAATCCTGAACGGTTATGTATTTGGATGTATGTTACAGTGTTGCTTATCAATCCTGAACGGGAATGTACTTGGATCTAAAACTTTGTGAGCCCTAGAGTTATTTGACGAGATAAATTTTGCGCAGATGGCAACTTGCAAATGTGTAACACTTATTTGAGTAACTTTCCATTCCATTAACCGTTCTTCCGGGGAAAGAGATGCTACAGAAATAATGAATCGGGAGAAATATAATTCAGATTATTTGGGCCGGTATAATTATAGAGACCCCTCTATAAGATATATACCTATCGTTTTGCACATTTTGAACGAATTATATTTTTGCGAACCAGATTCAGGAAAGAGGAACGGGTTTTGCAGAGGTG